TCGACATGTGCCTGGGATTTGTCGCTGTCATGCCCAACACCTTTATGATGAGCCCAAGGATCTAAGAATTGAGCACCGGTTCTAGGAGCCATTTCATTTTGATTTCTATCATCACTTCATGTTTCTTCGCTTCATCAACAAGCAAGAGGCTCCGGTGATTCAGATGAAGGCTATTGACACCTTTGAGCTTAGCAAGCTGCCTAGACTGGATGTGCAATAGCTGCTCCATGACTTGAGAAGGATGGGGTTGTAGCCATTGATGGAGTTCCACAAGCTGTGGAACAATGAGATTATCTATCAATTCTACGCCTCTTATCACTTGGACACCCGGGCGAGACTCATTTCATTCATTGGACCACTGAAGGCAAGCACTACAAGGTTGATTTCATTACCTTCTCTTGCCTTCTTGGCTTGGACCGCGGGGATCGCACCTCCACTGCCATTACTGACATTTTCGCTCTTACCATGGATGAGTATCAGTATATGTATTTGGATGGTCATCGTGCTGATGGGAAGATTGTTTGGTTGAAGCCCTACTACTATGTGCTAAACAACATCCTCTGTCAGATCTTGTATCCCAAGATAGGTGACTCTACCAATCTCTGTGAGGATTCACAGGTTGTCCTTGATTGCTTTGGAGATAAGTTCACCAAGTTCTCCATCAGACATTATATTTGGGATAAGATCTTCGTCGCTCATGAGGATGTGGTAAAGCACTACCCCTATGCTCCATTCATCATGCATATCATTGAGCATGTGCTCGACATTCACTTCCCTTTCAATGTCCCTCACAAAGTCCTCAAGCTGTCCAACAAGACGTCACTTTAGGCAAAGCAGGAATTAGCGGACCTCGCTAAGGGCAAAGGCAAAGGTGTCTCAGGCTCCTCTTCACAAGCTTCTCCACCATGTGCTTCACACTCTCACCGTGCTGATAGTGAGGAGCCTCAGTCCTCCTTCTCCTCTGGTGGTAAGCCCCCTAGCAAGTTCTAGTTCTTCATGAAGTATATGTTTGGAGCTTGTTGTGCTAGTGTTGAGCGTGAGCAAGAGATGCTAGTGAGGATGCATCATATTGAGCAGAAGCTTGACATTCCCTCTGCTCCGCCTCGGGCCTTGGAGCCACTTCATGATCCTTTTGAGCTTTATGATGAGGCTTGCAAGGAATACTATGGAGAGTCGTCCGATCAGCCCCATCCCTATGGCAAGTCGCAAATGGATGTCGATGAAGAGGAGTACCAAGAGGAAGATGATGACGATGACGATGATGGTGGTGGTGGTGGTGACCAAGACGATGATGAGGACTACGATGAGGAGTAGTCGTTTCTTTCATGTGGCCTACCCCTTTTGGCACTTGTTGACAAAGGGGGAGTGTTAGGCTTTGATCTTATTATAATAAGTTAGTTGGTCGCTTAGAGCTTGTGAGACTTTAAAACTTTTAGCTTGTATGAACTATGTCGTGTGGTGGCACTATGTGATGGACAACTATATTTGTGTGATAGATGATTATAGGACAAGCAATGTTTATCTACATATCTATTTGTCTCTACATGTGAATGGTGGATGTTATTTTGGATGGCCATGTGTTGTTTCAAGTTGTTACTTTGAGATCTAGGCCATCATATTTCATTTTACTTCTTGTATAACATGTCTTATTGCATCTCCCTTTTTCATGGATATTCACTTGTTCACATACACTTGTTGCACCCCACGGATTGCAAAATTTAGGGGGAGTTTCTGTCTTAATATATGCAAGTGATGTGTTGATGATCATCATTGAAATTCAAATTTAGTGCATATATTAAGGGGGAGCTCTCTATAAATTTTGGGGTTCAAAAGCTTTAAATTCTTACATTTTTATAAAAGCCTAAGTTGGTTGTCATCAATTACCAAAAAAGGAGAGATTGAAAGTGCATTTGCCACCTATGTGGGTTTTGGTGTATTGATGACATCCAAATTAGGGACTAATGAGATCTTAATGTGATATATTGTAGCTTTAGTCCCTTGAAAGTTTTAAAAGAGTTGATCTAAGATGAAATGGTGTCCCTCAATTCTTCAAGTGCAAAAAGCGAATGAACCCAAAGCGCTCTCCAAAGCCTTTTTATTTTGTTTTGGGTTTAGATATGCCATACCATAAAGAGGGATGCAAATTTAGGTGGTCTAAGGAAGATAGAGTTCTCAAGCATAAAAGTAAAATCAAAGAGAGACACAAAATCACCTCATGAACACTTAGATATAGTTTTTGGACTTTTGGTGGCCGCAAGTCCTGGCGTGATCCAGGAGTTCCGACAGTCGGAAGTCCCGACTTTCGGTGCCGGAAGTCTCGACACCTTCTGACTTAGCCGCCAGCCCGCCTGCGCCACGATGCCCATGCACATGGTGAACTCGCGCCGTGCCACACTGCCGCCAAATCCTGCCACCGCAGGCGCTTCACCACCACGATGGTGCCCTCCTCCAGCACCGCGTTGTATGAAGTGTCCATGCCGCCCTTCCCGAGCACCTCCATTTGAGCCCATACATGATCCTTTATGGAATTAAATGACACAAAAGTTCCTACGTGATAGGTTGTGTGACGCGCGACGTGCGCCCACGCCCATGCCGGAGAGGAAGAAGAAACTGGCGAGGTGGTTGCCTGCATAGGAGGTGGTGGCGGGAGAAGGCCATTGGGCAGGGCCGATGGCGGGATAAAATGATCTACGGTTTCCTCGAAGGGAAATCCATAGATTACATCATAATGTGACAGCCCAGGAAGACCAAGCTATCACATTATCATTATTCAGTTGATACCACAGTTCATACATTACGGAAATACATGTTTACAAGGTATTACAACACTTAGTAACACACCTAAGTACAACACTATACTAGCAGAAACGCACACCGAACATCATCAGAGTAGACGTAGCGCGTCGGCGGGTGAAGGATCCTCCTTCAAGAGTAGTCATCAGAGTAGACGTAGAGTGTCAGCGGGCATAGACTTTATCTCCTCGACCAAACTTGAGCGTAGGAACGAGACCACATAATCCTTCTATTCTTTGTTGTCGTCGTCGTAGTTGACATCCGAACCTGCCAAATATCTTTTAGTATGATTTGTACTAGCCACTGGCTCCCACCCTATGCTTTGCGTTTGCTTTGTGGTAAGTGGAATGCAAGGGTAGAGCAAAAGACCTATATATGGCTGTAGTTTTTCTATGCAAGTTCATCAATATTTATAATAGTTTATCAAGTTTTAACCCATCTCATCCACACGTTCACCCATCCTATCACACACAACTCACCACACTCTCACTCTCTAGGTGATAAGGACGACTCCCTCTCGTGCCTTGCCTCAACGGCCAACGCCGGGAACCAACAACACCCTAGGGGGAGAGAAGAAAGGACTCCATTCACTAATCAAGGAAAGTGTAGGTCATAGAAATGTCCATATCTGTGGACATGGCTATACGTATAGATCGATCAAGTCTAAAGAGTGTGTACACCTGGAGCCACAAGATCACAATCGTTGATGGTGGCCACTGTCTAGGCTGATACCGGGCTGCCTCCCAACCGGTACGATGCCACCCTACCACTTAGCCCTGAGTCACCCCAGAGACCACCGGCACGCTGAGACTATGAGACATAGTACCAAGGCCTCAAGGTCACTACACTGTCTTAGGAGGGTGTGAGCCATACGTCCATACGTCCCTACACTATCACCTACATCCTAGGCAGTAGTGGCACTACCCTAGTTGGTCAACATCCATCCCCCGCCCATTCAGGAACGAGTGGTGGGTATGTAGGGTCCAATGATCTAGTTTTCTCGACATACTAGTCCTTAGGGGGGGGCAGACAGGACATTGAAAGTGCATTTGCCCCCTATGTGGGTTTTGGTCTATTGATGACATCCAAATTAGGGACTAATGAGATATTAATGAGATATATTGCAGCTTTAGTCCCTTAAAAGTTTTAAAAGAGTTGATCTAAGATAAAATAGTACTCCTCAATTCTTCAAGTGCAAAAAAGCGAACGAACCCAAAGCGCTCTCCAAAGCCTTTTTATTTTGTTTTGGGTTTAGATATGCCATACTATAAAGAGGGATGCAAATTTAGGTGTTCTGAGGAAGATAGAGTGCTCAAGCATAAAAGTAAAATCAAAGAGAGACACAAAATCACCTCACGAACACTTAGATATAGTTTTTGGACTTTTAGTAGCCGAAAGTCCCGGCGTGAGCCAGGAGTTTCGGTAGTCGTCACCCTGGGCGCTTTTTTACCAAAAACGAACACGAACCGAACCGAACCAAACCGAACCGAATAGTCGGTAGTTTGGTTTTTCGGTTCGATTTCGGTTTCTAGTTCTGTGAAGTTCGGTGTTCGGCTTCGGCTTCGGTTTCTATGCCATACCGAACCGAAGTATCGAGAAACCGAGAAACTCTCGTAAGGCAGGCAGAGCAGAGAAACCGAGAAACTGCCCACCAGCCCAACACCGCTAGTCCACCATGGCACCCAGCACCTGCACCACTTCACTTCCCCACATCGAATCGAGTCGCACCACACGTCCGCACGCAGATCCTTGCACTCTCGCTCCTAACCCTAACCCTTTAGAGGCACGGCAGGCGGCTGGCGGCGCACCTAGCAGGCCAGGGCGCCAGGCGGCCAGCAGCGGCGGCGCCACCATCGACCGTCGTCAAGCTCCTCAACCACGGCCACAAGAACAGAGCAGTCCTCCAATGTAAGTCTTTAGTTCTTCTTGTTCTTGCTTAATGCCTAATAGATCCAGATGCCTGTTGGTTGCTTTGTGACAATGCGAGTTCATTAGTTAGTTAGTTTGTACCCTGACTAAGTACCTAGATGGCTGGTTTTTGTTTTGATGTCTTGTAGATGGGGGACACTGAAGAAATAGTAGCGCATTTGAATGTTCAAGTGAATGAGAATGAAATTGTAAATGGGGAGAATGACAAGCAGGATGAGCAGCAGTAGTCCAAGGATGGAGAGGAAGTGGGAGATGAGGAAAGGAAGAAAAGGAAGCCCATGGTTCCAAGATCAGATGTTTGGGAACACTTCAGCAAGATCAAACTTGATAATGGAGAGGAGAGAGCCAAGTGCAAGTACTGCGGCAAGCAACTCCGCTATGACACAAAGTTAAATGGTACGTCCTCCATGAAGGCACATTTGAAAATCTGCAAGAAGAATCCTCACAAACCTATAGTAGATAATCAAGGTACTTTACAACTACAACCTAGCCCTAGCAATAGTAGTGTTGGTACTCTATCTATTTGGAAATTTGATCCTGAGGAGTTATGGAGGAGTTTTGCTGAGATGATAATAGAAGATGAGCAACCTTTTGTGTTATCTGAATGTTCTGGCCTTAGAAAGTTTATGTCAAAAGCATGCCCACGTTTTGTTTTGCCATCTAGAAGAACAATCACTAGAGCCTGTGTGAAAGTGTTTGATGATGAGAGAGAAAAACTTAGGAAATTTTTGAAAGACAACTGTGAAAGAGTTAGCTTGACAACAGACACATGGACGGCTAAGAACAGTCATAATTACATGTGTGTTACAGCATATTTTATTGACAATGAGTGGAATTTACACAAAAAAATTATTGATTTTTTCTTGGTTAAGGGCCATAGGGGGGAGGACATTGGAAAATCTTTAGAGAATTGCTTGGCCGACTAGGGAATTGAGAATGTTTTTATAATAGCAGTAGACAATGCTAGTGCAAACAACACTGCAATTAAGTACATGCAGAGGGTCCTGAATGAATCAAAAGGCTGCGTTGCTGAAGGAGAGTACCTTCATATGAGGTGTTTTGCACATATTATCAACCTAATAGTAGGTGATGGGCTGAAAGAATTTGATAGATCAATCGCTCGTGTTCGGGCTGCTGTTAAGTATGTTAGGAGTGGACCATCTAGGTTGGTAAAGTTCAAGAAAGGTGCTGAGTTAGCAAAGGTTCAGACCAAAGCATTTTTCAACCTAGACGTCTGCACTAGGTGGAACTCAACTTACCTGATGCTACAAACTGCACAAGAGTATGAAAAGGCCTTTGAAAGGTATAGTGATGAAGACCCATATTATAGTCTAGAGTTAGAGAGTGAGAAAGCGCCAGGAGTTCCAATCAAATCAGATTGGGAAAAGGCAAGGAAAATGGCTCAATTTCTTAAATACTTCTATGAGCTGACCCTCCATGTCTGCCACAAGTCGCCCAACATCTCACACAAACTTTCATGAGATTGCTGATGTTTTGGTTCTGCTGAGACAATGGTGTCACAATGAAGATACATTATGTAAGGAAATGGGCTAGAAAATGTTAGTGAAGTATTACAAATATTGGGGAGAGAAGTATGAAGAAAGGCTAGGGGATAGAGAGAAGAGAGGAGAGAAAGACAAGGGGGATCAATTGCTTAACATTGTTATTTTTTCTGTGTTGGTATTGATCCTCGGTTCAAACTTTTTAACTATGTCAAGATGGCAACTATGGTAATGTTTGGTGATGAAATAGGTCAGAAACTGTGGGCAATAGTCAACACTTATTTTTGTGATTTGTTTGAGGAGTACAGAGAACTGTATGCTCCATCTCCAAGTGACAAGGTGCTTGCTGAAACTCAAGAAACACCAGAATTTGTTCTGGATTGATGAGCTCCATAATTGCACAACAGATGAGCAATAAGGGGAGTGCCAATACCACTGTGAAGTTTGAACTAGACAAGTACCTTTCAGAAGATAATGAGGAGCTTAGTAAAAGTTTTGATATTATAAAATGGTGGAAGAACAATGCTACTAGATTTCCCATAATGTCTCATATGGCCCGTGATCTTTTGGCAATTCCTATCTCAACAGTAGCCTCTGAGTCAGCCTTCAGTTCAGGTGGAAGAACACTTGATGATTTTAGGACATCACTCACACCAACAATGGTTGAGCGGCTCGTTTGTACAAATGATTGGCTTTGTGGAAACAACTACATCAGTGTTGAAGAGGACACAGAAGCATTGGCCAGGATTGAGGAAGGTAATTTTTAATGCTAGGTCTAAGTTGTTATCATTTCTATTGTTTATCTTGATAGCTTATTGCAGTAACATGACTACACTGAGTACTAACTAAAACATAATCACTTATTGTAGAAATTGGTGCCCTGGCCATTTCTGAGGATAGCACTACTGCTACTGCATCTTGATAATGGTAAGTTGGTTAGCTAGACGCCTAGACACATCCTGGTGGCGCCATGGAGCATTGTTCTCTTACTGTTGTTGATGCCTGCTGGCTAGAACCTATTTTTTTCCTATTGTTTATCAAAACTGATGGAGCACTGTGGTTTATTATCAAGAATGAACTGCAAATTTGTAATATTTGATTTGAGCATTGAATTGTTAAGTTTGTAACAGTCTTGAGTCTTCAAATAATATACTGTGCTGTGCAAGTTTGTACTGTGCTGTGCTGTCAGTTCTAAATCCTGTCTGATGTTTTCTTACATCGGTTTATTCGATTTTAACCGAAAAACCAAACTAAAAAACCGAACCGAAATTGGTTGGTTTTTGGAATTTTAGCAAACCGATCAGCGGTCATTTTCTGGAAACCAAAATTTTGGAAAACCGAAGAAACCGAACCGAACCATCGATTAAAATCGAACGCCCAGGCTGAGGTAGACGGAAGTCCTGGCTTTTAGTGCCGAAAGTTCTGGCGCTTGCTGACTTAGCCGCCAGCCCGCCTGTGCACCTTTGTCCGTCAAAAATCTCGACAAGAGTCGGGAGTTCTGGGTGTTGGAAGTTCCGGCTCCTAATGGAAGTTATGATGCCCTGGGACTTAGCCCCCTGGCTCGGCTGTGCGTCAGGAGTCCCGACAAAAGTCGGAAGTCTCGACTGCTGAAAGTTTTGGCATTCCATCGGGAGTTCTGGCTCTGGCTGTGTTGACCATCTTTGACTGCGCCTTGAACAGTGTTTTGTAGAAGGGCCAGAAATTCCGACGATCTGTGTTGGAACTTCTGACTTAGATCTGAACGGTTGGTTTCTATTATGAGTATAAATAGCTCTCTCCTCTCTTTCAACCTGAAACCACTTATTCATTGCTCACCAACCTTCGTCCCAAATAGCTCCCAAGCATTCAAGGCACCCCTCTCCTCTCCTCTTTGCTCCAATCTTTGATTCACATAGGGTTTTGAGTGAAAGGAGAGTGGATTGAGTGAGAGAATCACTTTGGCAAGCTTGAGCACTTGATTTCTTCGTCAAGCCAGTTGGACTTGCGTCTATTACTCTTGGGTTCTTGAAACCCTAGCCGGCTAGGCATCGCCCAAGAGCTTTCATCTTATGGAAGAGCCTTGGAAAGTTTGTATTACCCTTGATTTCTTAGTGGAAAGCTCAAGTAACCTTTATGGTTGCTTTGAGAGAGGCAAGGAGGTGGAAGAGACTCCGACCTTTGTGGTCACCTCAACAATGAGGACATAGGAGCTCCTTTGTGGGGTTGCTGAACCTCGGGATAAATTCTTGTGTCCTGCATGCTTGTTGTTGTTGTGATTTGTGCTATCATATTTGTTCTTGTTGGTTTGTCTTCCTCCCCAACTCTCCTCTTAGGGTTTGGACTCGATCTACGAAGTGGTGACCTTTCAGCATCAAATAAGCAACCCTAACACTTCACCTTACCACTAGGGAGTGGGGCTATAAGATATCTTTCACTGAAAGTTCGTTTCAGCACTTGTAGTGCAAATTCTCGTAGGTGCCAGAATTCCCGGCTATTTGCATTAGAACTTCCGGGTGCCGGAAGTTCCGTTCCAAACTATCGGGACTTCCGACTATCACTGACATTTAACTTTGAGATTACGTAGAAAATTTTAGATATGCCTATTCACCTCCCTCTAGGCATTGTTTAGATCCTTTCATACATCTTCTCAAGTGGGGTTAACTAACACCCCGTGCCTCAACAACGCCTCCTCCCTGGGGGCTCACCCCTGCGAGGCATCCTAGGGTCTACTCCACTCACATGTACCTGCCACAGGTACCTCTCATCATAGAGGAAGCTCAGGTCACACCCTCTCGGCAAACTTGTCCCAAGGACTCGTCGTAGAATCCTGTTCGGTCGACTTGACCCTCATCACACACCCAAAACAGAAGCTAAGATCTCCCCAAGTTATCACCAGTTTTAGCAGCACCATGTGCCTTAGCTACTCACAAACAATCCTCCACCAAGCATCACATCACAGATATAATGCGTAGTAGAAGTAAGCAGTAAGTAGTAAGCAAGCGTCTAGCCTATCAGCGGGTGTGCAGGAGTAAAGGTTGCGCCAAGGTAATGGCTTCAAGCAATTCTAATATGGAACCTATCACAGATCATTTGTATGAAAGTAAAGCACTAGCAGCTACATTATTGCATGCCTAATAGGATTCTACGAGGTTGGGTGGGACATGGCACCTATTGACTGATCATCTCTGAGATCCTCAGTGTACTCGTAGTTATTCTCCTCCAAGTTCTACTATCATTTGCATGTCCTTCCTCCAACGGGTTTCGGTCTGATCAATGTTATCCTCGATGCAACTACCGCAACAGAGCGACAAACAAGACAAATGAGCAATCAATCCCTAAACCAAGAAAGACTGCGAATAAAGAGGCAACAACACACGAGAAGATCAAAAACACCAAAAGAACACTAAAGGAAAAAGGGCTTAGCCCTCATGGAGGATGTTCGATCCTTAGGCTTGAAAGAAAATAGAAGTGGTGTTCGCTAAGCACAAGCTCAAGTCATAGCCTAGCCAATACTTCCTGGTTGATCATGTCAACCTGTACGGCTTCAAAAATAATGGCCTAGACCCTAGCCCAACTTAAGCAAACACCACGGCAAACAAGGCTAGCCCTCACGAAGCGAATTAGTTTTCCTTGGGCTTAAAAGGAGAAAGTCAGCTAGGCACATCCATGCCACATCTTTGGTAGAGACAACACTCTAATGGTCGATTGAGTCGACTCGTAAGGTTTCGAGAACATAACATAGATGCTAACCTCACTAACTAGAAGTGACAGTCTGGTCTTTGATCCAATTGTCATGGCTAAAGACGAGATTGAACAGAGCAGGCTAAAGGGGAAAGGAGTAGTTCTGGTCTCTCTCTCAATCCGTACGCCATTATAGTTGACGAGAATCAAAGAGAGGGTGGAACAGGAAGAGAAAAGAGAGGAGTAGTGGTCCACTTCTTCCAATCCACATGCCATGGCAAAAGATGGAGCATTGGAAGGAAGCGACACACAAAAGAACATGAACACCCAAGTCCACTCGTAGGGTACCTCGACCTACGTGCACTAAATGGCACCAAGACACCCCTAGGGTCTTAGCGGTGTGGTTGTTACCATGAGAACCTAGAGAGTGCTAAGGTCTATAATAGGTACAAGCATACAAGGGGCTCGAGCACGAAAGAGCCAAAAGAGGGGAAATACGGATTCACCTTCCTTTGATCCGCTCGCCATAGCAATCGACGGGAATCAAAGGAATGGAATCAAGAACGCAACAAAAGAACACTAAGAGACACAAACAAGCGAAAAGGGATTTTTGGTTCCATAGTACTTTGTTCCACATGTCATGGCAATTGACAGGAATCGAAGAAGTTGGAACAAGAGGGCTCAATCCACATCTTACTAGATCGACGAGGATCGAAAGAGAGAACACGAAGAATGGTCCCGTATTCCTTCAACCTGCTCGACATGGTAAAAGTCAAACGTCAAAAGAGTTAGACCAACTAAAAGAGAGGAGCGGGTAGCAAGACCTACCACTCTTCGATTTACTCACCATGGCAAAAGGCAGTAACCGAAGAAATGCCTTAGTAGTCCACTACCTTCCGATCCGCTCATCATGGTAATGGATGGGAACCGAAAGAAGTGACGCACAAGAGAGTTGACTCGGCAAACACTCACAAACGACACTCCACACCAACCCATAGGGCAACACGACCTATGTGCAACAAGATCAGCACTTTGCTATTCCTAGGGATCATAGCGGTGTGGTTGTCGCCGCGAGAACCAAAGAAATGCTACGGTCAATGTGGCACGAGCATACGAGGTGGTTGGGAAGAACAAAAGAACAAAGGAGAACAAAAGAGCAAAGGAGATAGAGCCCGATGGTCATGGCAAGGCAACTCATGGCCATGAGCTTTACCTAAACGAGTTGGCTTTCGTGAATTCCATGATGGTTGTCCCTTAATTCATCCCTAGTAGACAAGGTCAAACATGGGCCCATCATGTGCGGGTAGGTCCTAGGGCCGTAGGAGGGGCCAATGATCACGGCATTACAAAGTCAACGATCATAGCTGAAAGCATCTAGGCCCCTAGTTGGGTTTCAGTGATTAATGACAATACGTGATTACTATGACTAACGTATGTTTTGCAGAGGCAACTAAGTTAGGTCATGGTAATGGAGATCGATTGGGCAATCATTGTGGTCATGCCCCTACGATGGAAATCATTTTAGTTTTCAAAGGATGGACGACAAGGTTAAGAATGGACTAGTTCTAAGTGTCGATTGGAGTTGGAGAGACACTTAGAGTAGTTTAGGACTTTGTTTTTCCTTTGGCCGTACTATTAAGGGGGTATGGACGGGTAGCTTGACCTAGGTGAGTCTAGTGGGTTAGGTGTGGTGCACACTTGCTAAAACTAACACTAGGTAGCTCCAAAATAGCCCTTAGATCCAATGGAGCAAACTTCATTCATGTATGATCGAGAGTTGGAAGTGAATGGAGGGTCAAATACTGACCGGACGTTGGTTCTGGGTTGATCGGACGTTGGCGTAGAGTCCAGTCAGTTCATTTGACCAAGGTGAAATCGTTTGGCGCGACCGGACACTGAGAGGTGAAGTGACCGGACGCCGAGGGCCAGCATCTAGTCGACTCCAGTAAGGTTTCAGAGAGGGAAAATCACGACCAGACACGTCCGGTCAGTGCTGACCGGACGCTGGCCAGCGTCCGGTCACACTTTAAACACTGGAGTTCGGGGTGTACTGACCGGAGCGTCCGGTCAACATGACCAGAGCGTCCGATCACCTCGCAGAGGCACATAACGGTTTGTTTTTCAGCCGGTGTTATAAATACCACCTCCACTCGTGTGTGGGGGTACTTTTGCTCATTCCAACAGCTGAGAAACACGTTTGAGAGTGCCAAGAAGAGCAAGGTCCTAGTGAGGTGATTGAGATTTGAGAATCCCAAAGAGAGC